AAAGAAAGAAAGAAAGAAAGAAAATGAATTTCAAAACTTCTACCAATACTCTTACCATGTGTTATTTTTTAAATCCCATAAATACAGCACAGGATCAATGTCTTCCTTATTGACTTCTTTGTTCACCACTCTTTTGTTGGCTTTCACTAAATTGTYCACATCATAAAACATAGAGATCTTGATCGGCTTAGCAAACTTAAATCCCTCTTGAACAGTRTCGTTTAAGGGATCCATAGCTTTGATCTGGAAGCTGTAATTGCCGAGCATGAATTGCTACAAATAAAAAATTAACAGCGGAGTCAATAGGTACAAGAGAAAAGGTGTTGGAAGGTCCCTGTGTGTTCAAAAGCGTTGCTGTTTACTACTTAGCTCTTGCTTCTGAGGTATAAAGTGACTAAAACTCGATTCTCTAACTCGATAAGATGGTAGCCCAAGTATTACCAGCATTTTGTTATCTTATCCAATACAACTGTCCGCTTTGCGTTGGGTGTAATGTTTTACGTTTCTCTCTTGGAATTAAATTAATTTTCTTCAGTTACATCTACTTTTTAAAGGTGTCTTTTCAGAGGTTACCACAGAACAAAGGTGTAAAAATCAGTTGCTTATTTTAGGGCTTTGCCATGTGTCACGTGTCATGGAGTGTAATTCTAAAGATTCTAAAAATAAAGGAGTATTGTGTGTTTTTCAGATATGAATATACCTTTGGTTTCGTAATGCTAGGGTTTGACACAGGACCATCTTCAGAAGCATTGGACTGAARCATTTTATCATCCAGACTGTAGCATTTAAGTTTCACTTCGCCATCTACAGCTCCTTCGGGAACATCCAATGTCCCGTACGTTTTCCCAACACCACCATCTTTCCTGGTTCCATCAGGGTTCATGTTGACCGTGTCAAAAAAGAACGATGCCGAAGCATTCTTGTCAAATATGTACTCAGACTTTCCAACGATTATGCCATCAGACGACATTGGCTCTGATAATAAAYCAGCCTTGTTGGATGCTCTTACGGTTGCAAAATACTTCTTTTTCTTCTCCAGCGTGTTGTCCTTGAATTGGGCAAACCAGGTAGTTGTGTTTCCAATTTCTTCGTAGTCTTTCACGTCTGTAAGATTAGGTGCGGTTCCCCAGGCCACTTCATACGAGCTTATGTCACTGTCTTCGTCAGAGGCTTTGAAGTATGCGAAGATAATGTCCAGAAACACCTAGAAAATGAACAAAAGAACTTCATTTAGAAATAGATACCGACCAAAAGAGTTGAAATGGTTATAAGACATGTTCTTATGAAAACGGTTCGCATGAAAATGGTTCTGGGATTTGCAATAGTCCACTATTTTAAATCAAACAGTGGACTATTCAAGCAAGTTGCATTTGTGTTTCAACA